TACAACGGCCCAACTTTCCATCCCCAGCACAAAGTCCCCTGGCAAGTCACAACTCCTATGGGCACTTGCAGTGAGCCCAGCCCTGTTCTAGGCACCGTAGATTGGGGAAAATGACAGAAACCATTAGCAGCTAGAGAAAACACAAGGTCACAGTAAATAGGATGTGCAGATGACAGTTTGGAGACAAGGCCTTAGAGAAACATAGGATTTGGGAGGAGGGGCAAGGAGACTGTGCAGGATGGAGAAGAGGTTGAGCAGAAGCAGGATGTGGTCAATGTCACCAGATAGTGTAAGGAAGGGGGTGTGTTGGGGAGAGGAAGACATGACCAAACAGGCAAGGGCCAGGCTGGTGAATTTGTCTTGCAAGAGGCAGAGAGACACTGTGGGCTTGCCAAGCAAGAAGAGCTTTGTCTGAGGAAGGTCAGGTGGATGGCACCACCAGGAAGGCACCAGAAACCCAAGGGCTGACTTAGGGGCTGGCAAGAGGCAATGGAATTGTTCATTAGTGAGCTGAGGCTTGGTAGGGCCACAGTCTCGGCAGTGGGGTGGAAAGGGAGGAATTGGAAAGGATTCTCAGTTGGAAGGACTAAAGGATGCCATCCCTTCCAGAATGGTCAGTCACTGTCATGTCCAATGATCTGGGGCCACCAGGAGCTCTTCCAGTCTGGGGGACTCTTAGGACCTAATGGGACTCTCAAGGGAAAACTGACTATATCCAGTTCTTTGAGACCCTGAGTCTTGGGCTGTATTAGTCTAGTCACCTTCTAGGACTCAGTTTCCTTGCCTGCAAAATAAAGGAGTCAGCCTCTGAGCGCTTCGTGGGCATAGGGGGGATGGGAAGAGGGACTGGGGAGCATTCAGCAGGACATAAAATCCCACTCTTCCCCAAGAAGGAAGGGGAGAAGAAAAGAAAGGTAGGTTAGTTACAAGACCTAAGTCATTAGCAGAAGGGGGGCCAGAGCAGGGCTTGACTAGGAGAGACTCCCTGCTGAGAGCAGCTCTCTCTCTGGCCCACCTGAAAGGTGGTTCCACATGTTGACCTCCCCAGAGCCCCATTGGTCTTCCAGGTAGAGAAACATGTCTGTCAGGACACAGCCTGGACTTCCCCCTAGCTGTCCAGCCCAGCCTGTTCTCTGGTTGAAGGACAGCTCTGCCCCTAGAAAGTCAAGTTGCTAGCCTCTGAAATGTTCTGATGCATGGACCATCCCACCTGAGGCTGGAGTTTCCCAAGGAAGCAGGAGATAACCAGACAAGGAGTGTGTGTGTGTGTGTGTGTGTGTGTGTGTGTGTGTGTCACTGTCCTTTGTATTCAAAGCAGAGGACGCTGCCAGCAGATCACTATCTGAGTGTGGGGGTGTGCCTGGGAGACCCAGCACTGGTAGTGAGCTCTCCCACCTGCTGTGGGCACGTGTGCACACGGCCCTCATATTCCATTCTGGCTGCAACTGCTTGCTCTGGACGTGGAAGGGTGGGTTTGGAAAACTGTGGGGGCATTCTCGCTAGTCCCAATGACTGCAAGGCATACTGGCATTTAGGGCCTGGGTGCCAGAGGCAACTAAACATCCTGTGATACTTGGGACAATGTCTTGGGATACTGCACAATGAAGAATTGTCCTGCCCCAAATGCCGCCAGCACCCACGTAAAGAAGCACTGCGTCATTCCTACATAAAGCCATACAGGCAGACCATACTCCTTTGTTTTCCTGACACCTACTGAGGCCTGTTCTGTGGCCATTGGGTGAGACTAGCATGGGGCTCCAAATACTAGTGCATACCCCTTCCCAGGGCTGGGGTTGGCCTGGGTTCTTCCCCACCATGTGCCAACCTGGTTGCTCCTCTAGGTGTGGCTCTGGTGATGTAAACCCTTAATCAGGTCCTACATGCTACCAGTCTGTGTCTTGTGTGAGCATCAGAGGAATACAGATGTCCCTACTGAACAAACATTTATGTCATGCACTGTCCTAAGCACTTTAGAAACATTCATTCACTGAATTCTCCCAACAATGGGTACAATTATAATCCCAGTTTGACAGATGTAAAAAAAACTGAGGCATGGTGGGTTTAAGTAACTTGGCCAAGGCCACTCATTGAGCAACTGACATAGCCAGGACGTAGCCCAGGCAGTGTGGCTCCGGAGTCTGTGTTCTTGATCACTGAGTCCCCCTTTGCCCAGTGAGCTAGAGGAAGGCAGCTGGAGTCCCAAGATTTCATCCTGATAGACAGAAAAGGGAAAGGTCACAGGCCATCTGTGCCGGAAGGCTGGTGACAGCCAGGCCTTATCTAAGCCTTGGAGGGTAAACACAGACACCGCCCCCACCTCGTGGCACTAGGGCAGAAAAGGGCCTGGCTGAGAGGAAGCTCGGCTCCCATTTGCCAAAGTGATGATGATGGGAGAGAGTCACCCACAGCTGTCCTCGGCCACCAGCGGACAACACAGCCACCAGCAGCCATGATGCGAGAGCCTGGGGTGGGGCGCCCAGGAATGGGTGACGCCACTTGGGATGCGACTACGGGGGGAGGGGGGCAGTAAATGCCATCCCATGGGGACAGCCCTGCCTTCTCCACCACGCCCACTCCCCTGCAGGCACATCCAACCCCACTTCCCATGGGCAGCCCACCCTCACCGAGACTTGGCAGAGCTGCCCGCTACTCCCAGGAGAGCAAAACCCAAAGCCTTCATTGGCGTAATCACATTTTTGCTGGGTTTGGTCCAGGATGAGTGTTTGGACTCATCAAGTATCTGAGATGACGTCCAGGAGTGTCATTTACTGAGAACAAGAGAGTTCCTTGTTGCATTTCCATTTAAGGCTTAGCCTGCCTCATGGGAGTGCTCGGCTTGCCCTCCAAAGTGCCATCATCACCTCCCCCCATCCTGGGAGGATGAAGGTGAGAGGGGTGTGGCCATTGGCCTAAAGCAGGGGAGGCCTAATTGCATATTTTGTAAGTAAAGCCCACAAGGTGCTACAAAGCGCGAGTTTCCATCAAAAACGCTCAGAAAATTGCCCTGCTTCTCTTCCCTCTGCCTGTTATTGTCCGTTTATGCCGCCCCAGCACCTGCCCACCTGTTCCCTTTGGGGTAGGTTGGTTTGACCCAGTTTGAGGAAGAAAATTGTGCCCACCCGAGTGCCTAGATGAGAATGTGGGTGGAGGAGATGAGAGTGCCATTGCAAAGGTTAAAAGTTGGTGGCTTTTGACTTTTGGATGCCATCCCTTACCGGGACCTCAGCCCACGGGTGGCTTCCTGCTGCGAGTCTCCCTGCAGAGATGAAAGGGGACTGGCCAAGAGAAGGCCCCTCCCCAACCTTGTGCGGCTAGACCTGGTGTGGAGGAGAATAACGCAACTGCCTAGCCACCTCTGCTACACACACACACACACACACACACACACACACACACACACTCACGGGGTGGGGCAGGCAGGCTCCGGGCTGCTAGACTTGGCCCTGGCTCATCCCAGCAAAGGTGAGCTCCAAGTCAGCACCTGTGTGGAGACATTTTATCAGGCTCGGTGTTATCCTCTAGCCTGAGAACAAGTCAGAGCAGGCAGGCCCACCGGCCTCTGAGCTCCTGGGAAAGTCCCCCTTGAACAGAACTGCTCCGAGCTCATCCCCACCAAATCTTCAGCTCTGCAGGCTCTTCCCAGGAAGCTGAACCCCCAAGCGATCTCACACAGAGCCCTGGGGGGCGCTTCAGTACCATAAGCCTTCCTGTTGGAAAACCTCTGCCACCCTCCCCACTGCTAGCCGGACAATAAAGCCCAGGAGGCCCCCAGGTGCCCCACCCGAAGTCCCTGGCCCGGCTCCCCCTGCTCAGGCACTCTTATAAAAGGTGGAGCAGGCGCAGAAGTATTTTCTCCCTTTGGCCTGTGAGGGCTTCCCCTGGAGGGCCTGTTACCATTTGCTTCTTGCCCTGGCAGAGGGGAGGCAACGTGAGGAGTTCAGCAGAGAAGTTAACAGTGGAAAACAGTCCTGGCCAGAAGAGGAGAGACTTTCCCACTCCAAGTACAAGTGGCCAAGGAAGGCTGGCGGTGCTGGTGTCTGGGAATGGCACAGGGTGACAGGGCAAGGGCATGGGGACTGGGCTGAAGTCCGGCGTTGCCCTGCCCTCACTGAGTTCTTCTGGGCCTCCGATACCCAACCTGGTCAAGGCCGTGGAGGGCTGGATCTGCGGCTACAACCCACTGTAGGAAATAACATCTTACATCGCAGCCCAGCACCCAGATTCTGTTTCACAACACAACACATGTCTCTACTACCTGCATTGCACTCAGAGCTTACATTCCAGTATATACTATTCTATCTTTTTTAAAAAAAAATTTTTAACATATAGTTATCGTTGAAAGACAGAGACAGAGCATGATCATGGTGGGGGCAGAGAGAGGAGGAGACACAGAACTTGAAGCAGGCTCCAGGCTCCAAGCTGTCAGCACAGAGCCCAACGCAGGGCTTGAACTCATGAACTGTGAGATCATGACCTGAGCCACAGTCAGACACTCAACCGACTGAGCCACCCAGGTGCCCCATCCTATTTTTTTACGTTTTTTAAAATATTTTATTTATTTCTGAGAGAGAGAGAGAAGCAGCGTGACCAGGGAGGTGCAGAGAGAGAGGGAGACACAGAATCTGAATCAGGCTCCGGGCTCTGAGCTAGCTGTCAGCACAGAGCTTGACGCGGGGCTCGAACCCACAAACTGTGAGATCATGACCTGAGCCGAAGTCGGACGCTTAACCGACTGAGCCACCCAGGCGCCCCATCCTATTTTTTTAAATGATAGTCACGATCATTTAAATTGATTTCATAATCCATAAGGGGTCACAACCTGCCATTTGAAAAGTAATATGTCAGATGATGGCTAAGATTCCTTCCACTCCAAACATTCTGGGATTCCATGAATATGACTCCGGGGGCCGGGGGAGGACTGTGCCCGGTGGCCAGCTGGATCTAGAATCCCCGGTCAGGTCAGGAACCTTGACTGAGCCTTTCTCCCTTCCTCTAACCAGATCTACAACGGGACCCTCAAGCGGGAGAATGACAACAGACGCTTCAGCTCTTACAGCCAGATGGAGAACTGGGGCCGGCACTACCCACGGGGCAGCTGTAACACAACGGGCGCCGGCAGTGACATCTGCTTCATGCAGAAAATCAAGGCGAGCCGCAGCGAGCCCGACCTCTACTGTGACCCGCGGGGCACCCTGCGCAAGGGCACACTGAGCAGCAAGGGCCAAAAGACCACCCAGAACCGCTATAGCTTCTACAGCACCTGCAGTGGCCAGAAGACTGTCAAGAAGTGCCCCGTGCGCCCGCCCTCCTGCACCTCCAAGCAGGACCCGGTGTACATCCCACCCATCTCCTGCAACAAGGACCTGTCCTTCGGCCACTCGAGGGCCAGCTCCAAGTAAGTGCTGCTAAGCTGTGCTGGGGGCCAGGGCGGGGACCAGGTAGGAGACGGAGTTAGCCCTCCCGGCTACACTCTGCAAGGTTGTTGCTGAGGACAGGAAAGGCAGCCTCTGTCCCTAAGGGGCTCATTGTCCCTGCGGGGGTGGGGCCGGGGGAGTGCCTGGACTCAGGAAGTGTGAAGGGGGAGGCAGAACCCAGACATTCAAACAAATGCATTGAGTCTATAGGTTTTAAAGAGTCACGGGTTATGAACAGAGGGAGGCCAATTAAAGAAGGGTAACCAGGCTCATGGTTCTCAAAGGGTGTGCCTCCCAACAGCAACATCAGCATCACCCAGAACTTGTGAGAAATGTGAATTTTCGGGTTGCACCTACTGACTCAGAAACTCAGGGAGAGGCCCAGGCAATGTGTGTTTTAACAAGCCCTCCAGGGGACCGAGGATCTGTGATGTTAGCCATGCAAATCTCTATCCATGTTCTGAAAGAGCAAAGGCGTGTGCCCTGATATAGATGATTTATTCCACCTAATGGGACAAAAGACAGCCAGGACAAACAGACATAAAATCTGAGGAACTGGATCTAGTGCTGGGGAACAGAGTACAGCTCTCATCCCTCAACACCGAAGGCCCATCACCCAGTGAGAATGAAGGAAAGGAAACGGGGTGTCCCGTCAAGAGCCACGGGTACAGGGTGGCTTGGGGATGGCTGCAATGTCTCAGGGGACATTGGGCCTGCCCTCCAGGACTCCGTGACACCATGAGCCCCTGAACTGTTCCTTATCACCACCTTAATGATCATTTATTCATTTATTTGACAAACATTCACTAAGCATCTCTTATGCCCCGGGACCTGCAGTAAGTATAGGGACACAGCTAGGAAGAGAGCAGCCCAGAGCTGTCCCAGAGCTACACAATTAACTGATAAGCTGCTTTTCCTAGCGCCCTGGGATCTTGCATTCTTTTCATTCTTCACCTCTAGTCCTCATAGCCGTTTCTAGGCAGGTACTAGAATTCCTGAGGAGGAAACAAGGCACAGAGATATTAAGTCGCTTGCCCAAGGCAACACAACCACTGAAGCATCCCGTGCTCTCCCCCACTCTGCCACACTGTTTTGATACTAAGCTGAACCCTATTGTAGAGCTGGGCCTCTCCTAACTACTCGAAGACCATAAGGTGTATTTAGGATGATTCGGAGAAGGACTAAGAAACCCTCTCCCTTGGAGCAGGGACGAGGGCAATGTCTAGCCCTGGCTTATTGCCCCAAACCAGAGGCCCTGAGAGTACAAGATCTAAGTAAGACAGGGGATGAGTGACAAGCCATCTAGAGATGATGTCTGACTGGCAGATGTGACATTTTCCCAAAGCAGGGCTGGGGTGCTACTGATACAAGACGGGAAAGCTTCGCCCCTTGGGCAATCTTTCCAGAAATGGAGTTAGGATACCTCACTAAAACTATGAATTCTTACTGAGCATTTACTATGGCAAGACTGAAGCTAGTAAAAATGAGAAGAGGGCTCCCTCTAGAAATGCTGGGGAGACTTCCAGTGGGGCAGGGCTGGGTGCCATAGAACAGGCTGTCCCTGCCTTCCGGAACTCTCCGTCTCTGTTGGCAACCAGGATACAGACAGGTGGAAAGGCAGCCTGAGACTCAACACCACAGGAGCTGGAAGGGTTCCTAGGAGAGAGGTTTCCTTTCTCTGGAATGTTCACAGCAGCAGGACCTCAGCAGGTCGCATGCATTGCGAGGGGACAGGGAACAGGTACACCTGAGCGCTGACCAGGGGTCAGTGACAAGAAGGATCTTGCTGGAGAGTGTGCAAGAGGGCTTTGCAGAGCCAACTGATTAGGTTAAAACATGAAAATTTTAGTTTTATGGCTCAAAAAGGTTGACTATCTGCCATTTCACATGGTTCGACTTAACACGTGCCCTTGGATATCAGTCTAAGCAGTTTGCACTTGAACCTGCAGTTTGGAGAAGGTGCTGATAAGAACAACACAGTGAACCAGGTTTTAGGACTGTGAGTCTGGAAAAGGAGAGTCAAATTTGGGATGAGGGAGCTTGGAGAAGAGAGCCAGTTGTGAGGGTCTCTTGCTGTAGTCCCAGTGGGAGTTCATGGTTAGAAGGAAAGCAGTGACTGTGAAGTTAGGAAGAAGGAGCAGATGTGAGGATTGTTGTAAGAAGAATTAGCTGGACTTTAGAATAGAGGGAGGGAGAGACAGACGGCTGAATTGATGGATGGATAGAAACTGGAGGGAGAGAAGAAGGATGGATGGATGGATGCATGCATGCATGCATGCATGCATGCATGGACAGGCTCACAGCCATTCTCTTCCATTTTCCCAATATCAGGCAAGAGAAATGGCAGAGAGGTGGGGAGCATCCCCTTGGGAATAGGGCAGAGTTTTTCCTCAGTGCAGAGGTAATTTACCTGTTTGGATCTTGACCCATGACCCCCATGGGCTTCATCACAGTGACTGTTCACCATGGATGAGCCTTCTCCCTACTCTGGAAAAGCTATTCCACAGGAACATTCTCCAAGTGGGCCTAGGGTGGCCTTGTTCTGGCTTCCTAGATTGCAGATGAGGCTGTAAACATACAAGGGGAATTCTCCCAGCCTACCCTGTTACCCCACCACCACCACCACTTCTCACTGCCCACAGGATCTGCAGTGAGGACATTGAGTGCAGTGGGCTGACCATCCCTAAGGCTGTGCAGTACCTGAGCTCCCAGGATGAGAAGTACCAGGCCATCGGGGCCTATTACATCCAGCACACCTGCTTCCAGGATGAATCAGCCAAGCAACAGGTAACTGGCCTGCAGACCTGGGCAGGGACTGGGTGTGTCAGCCTGACCCCATTTAGAGGTGGGTGGGGGCATCTGCACTTGCTCCTTGTCACCCAGCCCAGCTAGCTGCCTTGGGTGACCAGTGTGCTTGGCATTGCCTAAGATCACAGCTGGGCCTTTTAACCCTCTAGTTGAGTGGATATTAGTCAGCTGTTTTCCTCCACTGATCATGAAAGACACAGCCATGAGTTCAACAGAAATCCCCTTTCTCAAATTCCACTAAAGACTATGACTACTTTCCACCCTTCAACTCCCTCCCCCCTTCCCTCTTTCTGTCTCTCTGTCTCTTTGCCTCTCTGTCTCCATCTCTCTCTCCTTTTCCAGAGCTTAACCCTCTTTCTCACCAGGCATCTCTGCTGGAAAATGGGGCTTGTTCATGCCCCCTGACCTTGGTTGGCAGGAAGGACGCCTATAGGGTTCCACAGCTCAGCCCAAGGGCATCGTGCCCTAAATATGTTTCCTGGGGATTCCAGGATCCATCCAAATTAAAGTTTCTGCCACATGAGAAAGTTCCCAGGGGAGGGTCTCCTTTATGTCTGTCTTGCTTTAGGATTTTTGAGATGTATTTATATCCATTTCCTCTTCTTGTCCTCACCACCATATTTCAGAGGAAAAAAGTGGGGCTTGGAGCAGAGGGGTGTCTTGCCAAGGATGTGAGGATGCTAGCCTCCAAATCCTTCTTGGTTTCTGGTCTGATTACATCTTGGTTTTCAGATTACTGTTACTCCACACTGCTTATTTCTTTTGGCTGGCTTGGATATTTCAGAGCTGACAGTAGACTTTTGGGTCTGAGAAAAATCACTTTGAGTAGAGTCATCAGATCAGCCTCACATCCTTGACCGGGCACTGTGGCACCTGTGTGTCAACAGGTCTATCAGTTGGGAGGCATCTGCAAGCTGGTGGACCTCCTGAGGAGCCCCAACCAGAACGTCCAGCAGGCTGCAGCCGGGGCCCTGCGTAACCTGGTTTTCCGGAGCATCACCAACAAGCTGGAGACCCGGAGGCAGAATGGGATCCGAGAGGCTGTCAACCTCCTGAGGAGAACTGGGAGCACAGAGATCCAGAAACAACTGACTGGTAGGGAGCCCTGGCCATGGAGAGCCAGGGGTGGGGGCAGGTGGTGTACAGGGCATCCCCTCCAGGCTGGGACAAAGCATAGGTGCAGATTTGACCTCCAGCTAATATCTTGGGAGCCCCCTGCTGCTGGCCATGGCCAGTGGTGTGCTCATGGTGCCTACCCACACGGTGTCAACCTTTTTGAAGATAGAAGGCAAGGGGTGTCCAGACAAGATCCATATTCAACAGGCCCTGGGATTTCCAGGTGAAGAGGAGGAAGCAAAGTTGGAACTTCCGGTCTTCAGCACCTTCCTGTGGCCAAACAACATGCTAAGCACTCAGGCCGGGGGTGCAAGGGTTAGAAGTAACTATGAAGCCCTCAGACTGGACCGGGAGATGAGACCATGTACAGAGTAGCCATGATAAGTATCTTTGGAATGACTTTCAGGTAGAAAATAGAGAACATTAGAAGACTCTGAGTGTTAACATTTATATTAAAAACTACTGACCCATCAAACATTTCTGGATGACCTTCCACATTCATAATTTTGACCTTCATAAAAAACTCTAGGAGCCCCCTGCCTTCAAGGAAGCTGCCGTCTCATTGAGACATTGGGAAATGAGCTCAGAAAATGATGAGACACTAGACTTGATAGACCAGGTCTACTTGGAAGATGATGTTTCCACAGGGCTCACTAGCCAGAGCAGGCTGGGGGTGGGACCTCGGTGCCTGGGGTCTTCCTGAGCCTGGCATGGGTTGGGTTGACCATCCCCAACCTCCAGGGCTGCTCTGGAACCTGTCTTCCACTGATGAGCTGAAGGAGGAGCTCATCGCTGATGCCCTGCCTGTGCTGGCTGATCGGGTCATCATCCCCTTCTCTGGCTGGTGTGACGGCAACAGCAACATGGCCCGGGAAATAGTGGACCCTGAGGTCTTCTTCAATGCCACAGGCTGCTTAAGGTGAGAGAAGAACATGCCCATGGGGTCCCTTTGCCCCAGCCTTGGGCCTTCCTCCAGACAGCCCCATCTCAGCCAGGCCAGGGCAGGGAACGTAAAATGCAGTCCGGCACTCTCTGGCCTTCGTGGGCAGACTCCGAGAAATGGGTCCCCGGCATTCCTAACGTCCCTGAATCTGGCTAAGGCTTGGGACTCCATGACCTCCTTTAAGGGGCCTCAGCAGACTTAGTTAGAAACCTAAGAGTAGAAATGCCAGATCTGAATATCCAAACCGGCTAGGTCATTTCCCCCCCCCTCAATCCCCCCCCCCCCAAATGCATTTCTTGTACCATCTGGAAGAGAAGTCTTTCAGATAAAAGTCTGCTGATTGGCTCCTAATGGGTCACTTCCCAGCTGTGATGCTAAAACCAATTGCCATATTCATTGGCATAAAGATGGCAGGGCTCTTTCCAGAGTCTCCTGAGTCTAGTAGGAGGGTGAGGCAAGGCCCCTGGGGGCTGTTGGGGGAGGGGCCTGGGTATGCTCTTTCCAGAGGAGAGGTTTACAAGCTGGGTTATGGGTGCTGGGTTGGAGGTGGAGCCTTGAAACAGATCCCCGTTAGGTCACACCTTGCTCTGATGGGGTTCATGTTCCCCAGCTCCTGGGAGCCCCGGAATGAGGGGTGCAGTTGGCAGGTGCTTCTGGGTTCTCAGCTCCTGCTCCTCCCTGTAAGCCTCCACCAGTGGCCTCCAGTGAGCAAAGCCAGGGTATTAAGGACTTTAAGGGGCTGCAGGGCTATTAGTAGCAACAGCAGCCACAGCTCATCTGCACCAGGCAAGTGGGCCCAGACCGCTTGGGAAGGAGCTTGCTGCTGGGGCATAACACAGCCCTCCCATGGGGAGGGGGCATCTGGCCCCCAGCTGAGCACCCCCAGGGTTCTTTCCCAGATCCAGCCTTTAGCCCCAGCACCCCACAGAGCTTCTCCTGTTCCACGGAAAAAACTGGGCAGGTGGAAACTTCTAGCCCCTGTTCAACAGGTGCCCACTAGTGGTGGGAGGTGCCTTGACCTGCCAGCTGCACTGCAGCCATTGACAGTCACAAAAGTTACAGGCCTGGGGCCCAGGTGGGCAGAGAGAAGGGTGCAAAGAACTGAGTTCAATGAGACCCCATCCAGCCTCCACCAGGACCGGGAAGACTTGGCTGAACGGTCTTTCCTTCCTTCTTCCTCATTTTTTCCACCTTGTCTCCCCCCACCTTACCAAACCTCCAACCTCATCCCCATCTCCTCTGCCCCTACTCCCCCACCTGCTTTCTTCCCTGCGTGTCCTCCAACCACACTCTTCTCTACCCTCTTCCCTCCTCCCCTGCATCCACACACCCGCTCTCTTCTCTCCCTCAGGAACCTGAGCTCTGCCGATGCAGGCCGCCAGACCATGCGAAACTACACGGGGCTCATTGATTCCCTTATGGCCTATGTCCAGAACTGTGTAGCTGCCAGCCGCTGTGATGACAAGGTGAGCGCCCACCCTGGCCCTGGCCCCCAGTCCTCCTCTCTGTCTGGAGTTCTCAGGCCCAGGCCCTCCCCAGAATCAGTGAGGGCAGCTCCTTGGCCTCCAGGTCCTGACATTTTTCTTTCCCAGGCTCCACAAGGCACTTCTGCACTGTAGGGGGCCCTTAAAGCATGGTCTGGTGGCGGGACAGAAGCCCAGAGACTGGCCTGCGAAGGGGCAGGCTGGATGCAGAGAGCTTTGCTCACCTGGGGCGGGGCGGTGGTAATGGGGCAGTTCCCCTCTTCCTCACCTACAGGCTTTGTGAATGCCAATGTGTCCATGATGTCTGTTTCTCTGTTTGCTTTGCTCAATCGGAGATCATCACAATCACATCTACTTCATGGGCTGGTGTATGGGCTCAGTTAGTTAATAAGCAAAACGCAATGAGGGCCGGGCCCCGAGTGAGCTCTCCGTGAGAGAGCTGCCCCTGGCATTGGCGGTGCTGAGCCCAGCCTGCAGCCCTAAGGAACCCCACTGATGCCCCCAGAGGTCCTCCTTGCACTTAGGTGCCTTCTACCAGAGTTTCCCACCGCCTTCCTAAGAGACTGTTGGCAAAGCCATCTCCCTGTCCACTCTGGACCTGTGGACACGCTAGCACAAACAGACAGAAAGGAAACATCACAGAGAAAAGAGAAACTGAACGCTGAGATATTTCTACCATGGCCGGACAGACTCAGGAGAATAGTGAGTTCCCATGGCCCCCAGATGACCAGGGGACTGCATGAGTATCACAGCCACAGGGTCTGGCATACAGTTTCCCTGTGGAAACATTTCTGTCTCCCGCTCCTCCACTGGAAGTTACAACAGGGCCTCAGGAGAGAGGGAAAGAGAAAGACAGTCACTCGGACTCAGCCGGGTCCCCGTGGGCATCATGTTTTTCTGCTCTGGATGTAACATCCCCTCTACCTGTGTCACCCAGACCCTGCAAGTCTGATTCCCTCCAACCCTAGGAGGGCCAAACATCATTAGGAAGGTAAGTCTGCTGTCCCAAACCCTAGTCTGGCTACTGAGGACAGGTGGCAAAGACTGGCTGCCTTGCAAAGTGCCGGGTCCCAGGTCCCACTGCCCATGTGGATCTGGGAGGGGTCAGCACCTTTGGTATTGGAAGCTGAGGACTAGCCATGAAAAGGGGGAAGAATAGGGACATGGGGACTCAATGGCTTTTGAACCTACATATGTCAAGGTTGCTCCTGAAGGAGCAGGTGCCAGGACAGAAGGTGTGTTCCTCAGTAGCCTAGTGTGGCCATTGTCACGATGGCTGTAGCAAGAGAAACAGTAGTCACCATTGGGGCACCCTGGTGGCTCAGTCCGTTAAGTGTCTGACTCTTGGTTTCGGCTCAGGTCACCATCTCACGGGTTATAAGATGGAATCCTGCATCAGGCTCTGCACTGACAGCATGGAGCCTGCTTGAGATTCTCTCTCTCTACCCCAGCTGCACTTTCTCTCTCAAAATAAATAAATAAACTTAAAAAAAAAGAAAAGAAAAGAAATAGTAGCCATTGTCTGTTGTGTCCTACCATGTGCCAGGCCTCATGATAGGCATTCCTGTGTATAATCTTCCCAACAGCCCGATGAAGTAGGCAACTTCAGTCCCATTTTACCACTGAGGACATGGGCCCAGAGTTGAAGAAAGCCATGAAGTTCACAAAGCTAGGAAGCGACAGAACTGGATTCGAATCCAGGTTCTGGGAAGTGTTACTGGGAGATCTTTTCAGACCGCAGTGGGTGGCTGTATTCCTCTCTCGTGGGGCAGCCTAAGGTGCCCGCCTCTCTCCCGTTAGTTAGGGCAGAGAGGGAGCCCAGGACGCCATCAGGGCAGGGCATGGACTCAGGGGCCCTGCTTCTGCTTGGCCCCTAGTCTGTGGAGAACTGCATGTGTATCCTGCACAACCTCTCCTACCGCCTGGATGCCGAGGTGCCCACCCGCTACCGCCAGCTGGAGTATAATGCCCGCAACGCCTACACTGAGAAGGCCTCCACCGGCTGCTTCAGCAATAAGAGCGATAAGATGATGGTAAGCCAGGGCCTGCTCCCTGCTAGGCACCCCTCTGGTCTCAACTTCCTGAGCTACCCCTTCCTCCCTGTTCCCCTGAAGCTTAAAACCAACCCTAGGGGACAAGCCCATGCCAGAGCCTTGGCCTTGGGATTGTGCTGCACTCTGGGAGCTGGGTAGAAGGCCTTCTGTCTTACAAGCAGAGATCTACGTTCTTGAAACCATTGGAGCTCAGACAGCCCCAAGCTCAGAAGCTCCAGCCCTCTGTTTTCAGAGCTTATTCTTGTTTACTATGTAATTGGTAAACCCTGCCTCATCGTCTCCATTATCCTAGAAGGTTTGGGGATAGCCAGGACTCTAAGCCTTCTCTCACCTGGTTCCCACCAACTCCTGAGTCTCCCAGGTTTCCCCAGAAGCAGAAGGGTGCTGTGGAAGCAGGGTCAGGCTCCCCACCCTGGGCACAGCTGTAGGAGCTGGGCCCTGGACCAGCCCTGTTTGGCCCAGGGTGGGTCCAGCTTGGAGTCTGACTCCGGGAGGAGAGGAAGATCCCAAAGCAGCCCGACACAGCTGGGAGGTTTGGGCAGGGGCTGGCATGCAGCACACTTCTTGTGATCTCTAGATTGTTCTCTACCTCCCTCAGAGCCACCCTGCAGGACCATGGCCCCCTGACTCACTTATTCGGTGGAGCTGCCGCCGTAAGAAAAGGGGCACCAGGACAGGTGCTTGCTAGGCCCCTCCCCTCAGGAATCAGGCCCCTGAAGATGGAGGGTGGGCACACAGAATGCTTGGGCTCCCTCCCGTTGCAAGGTTCCCTGCTGACCTGCCTTATGTCCACAGAACAACAACTATGACTGCCCCCTTCCGGAGGAAGAGACCAACCCCAAGGGCAGCAGCTGGTTGTACCACTCAGATGCGATCCGCACCTACCTGAACCTCATGGGCAAGAGCAAGAAAGATGCCACCCTGGAGGCCTGTGCTGGTGCCCTGCAGAACTTGACTGCCAGCAAGGGGCTGGTGAGGAGCAGAGCCTTTCCCTGCACCCACCCCCATCCCCAACCCCATTTCTCCAACCTCTGCTCCCTTCCCTACTCTCCCACAGGTGTGTTGCTGAGTCATACCAAACACACATGGCCTTCAGAGCTTGACTCTATAGACACAAACAGAGGGAATGTCATATGCTAGGCTTCAGCCAGGCCACTGGGGAAAAGATGAGCAAGTGGAGACGGCCCATCCCTCTGGGAACAACCAGGCTGTGTCTAGTGGGTGAATCCACTCCTGTTGGATTCTGTCTGTGCCCTGTGTCTCTGCAGCACAGAGCCCCCTCTGCCTCATGATTCCTGGCTCTGTGTTGGCCCCTGCCTGGGGTGGGAGACAGGGATGAAGGGTAATGTTTGTGGTAGGAGGAACGTCCTGGGTGTTGAACTGACAGAGGGAATAATAGAGGGTTTAGGGCATGGGCAGATCTAAAGGAAGATGGTGCAGAATCAATAGAGATTTTGAGGCCACATATAGACTGGAGGACATGATGGAATGACACTGAGATGAAGGGGGCCTGCCGCAACCAACAAGTATTAAGATGGGGAGACAGCCAACAACCCCTCATCTCTACTTAAGAGAGAATCGGGTGGAAGCAGGACCAGGGTGAATTGAGGTCTATGAGAGAATGGGGCTGGGGGTCTTCAAGAACCCAAACCAGCCTGGGGCCAGATTACAGACAGGCTGGCTCTGTTGCTAGAGGCATAGATGAGCTGACCTACCTCCAGGGAGCCCTGGATTGTATCTGCATGTGGGCACCGACCCTCTCTTCTCCATCTTTGTCCTGGGCAAACTCTCAACAAATATGGATTGAATTCCATGGAGGAATGGAATTGGAAGGTGGCCAGTGCCTCTGTAATGGACAAATACCATTGACTGTGTGCTTTTGCATGAGCAGGTACTGCTGGGAAATGTAAGGGAGGCAGAGCTGGGACAAACAGGTGAGCAGTGGCATCCGACAGTGTTGTTAGACTGGGAGTTGATTCTGGGCCTCCATGAGCAAGGGCTCTGAAACTTTCTTCTCATCATCCATCATGGCTGCAGGCTAATCTGGGAGTAGAGATCAAGGTCAGGAAAGGCGGGGGCACATTTTTGCCCAGGTGCTCTGCAGCTGCCAGTGCGTGAGCAAATCTCTGTCTCTCTTTGCCTGTGCTTCCAACAAGAAAGAGAGAAGGTTCTGGGGTTTGTTTGTTTGGGATTACATGACCTCTTCCGCCATGGTGACCGGGAAACCACAGGCTAGGTCCTCACTCCGTCCTTCTTTCTCAGATGTCCAGTGGCATGAGCCAGCTGATTGGGCTCAAGGAAAAGGGCCTGCCACAAATCGCCCGCCTCCTGCAATCTGGCAACTCGGATGTGGTGCGGTCTGGAGCCTCCCTCCTGAGCAATATGTCCCGCCACCCTGTGCTGCACAGAGTGATGGGTAAGCGCCCTCCACAGTGCCAGACCACCCCCTTCTCCCCCCACCCACCAACTAGGACTCAGCAGAGCCTTCACTTTCCAGAGCCTGCTGGCAGGTCACCCTCTGAACTTGCCCTAGGGTGAGCATTCCAAGAGGGGAGGCTGGCCCGAAAGAGGCTTGGAGGGAGGAAGGAATAGGTCACCAGGCGATGGGGAGCGGGTGTGCAGAGGTCCCATCCGGGGCCCGAGCCCTGAGCTGGAGCTGGAATGGAGCTTTGAGGGGCCGCCTTGCTAGGAACCTGGCTGAGGTCAGCCCAGGACTATGGTCCCAGAGGGAGCACCTCAGCCCTTCTCTTCTCCGGTCGTCTGACCCCATGCCCTCCACTCCTTTCTCTCTCAGGGAACCAAGTATTCCCAGAGGTGACCAGGCTTCTCACCAGTCACACTGGGAACACTAGCAACTCGGAAGACATCCTGTCCTCGGCCTGCTACACTGTGAGGAACCTGATGGCCTCGCAGCCGCAGATGGCCAAGCAGTATTTCACCAGCAGCATGGTCAACAATGTCATCAACCTGTGCCGCAGCAGGTGGGCGGGGAGGGCATGGTCTCCCCCCCACCACCACCACCGTAAAGCAGGCAGCCCCCTCACCCTCTGAGAAGGCACAGATGTGCAGCGAGAGCAGGACCGAGCGCAGAGCGGGTAACCAGGGTGGGAGTGGCTTGAATGGAGAGAAGTTCCAGAAGTCAAGAGCACTGTGGAGCTGAGCCCAGCTGCCAGGCCTCGGGGCTGTGCAAAGGGGACAGAGGCAGTGCATTCTCAGCTGGGGGTCAGGACAAGCAGAGTGTTTAGAGGGCCAGCAGGAGGCATGATGGCATGGACCCCGCCATGGGGGAGCTGTATTCTGCTCCATGGGGCTTTCCCCTTCCAGGACAAGGGCCGGGAACCAGAATGGGAGGGCACCTCCCCCTTCAGCCACCGAGGAGAATCCCAGGGTACTTCTAAGTGGGCAGGGCCAGTGAGTTGTACCCACTGTGCAGTGACCAGCCCAATGAGATTCCTCTCTCATGCACCCCTGGGGCCTGCCTACATCTCTAAGACCTGAAGGTGAGGGTGGGAGGGAGGAGGGTGATCATTCTCATGCCTCCCCAAGTCTCATCCCACAAATGAACTTCCTGCCTGCCCAGCGCCTCGCCCAAGGCCGCAGAAGCTGCCCGCCTCCTCCTGTCTGACATGTGGTCCAGCAAGGAGCTACAGGGTGTCCTCAGACAGGTAAGAGCCCACACTGCCACCCCCTGCCAGTGAGGCTCTCTTCCAGCTCCCCCTGCACTGAATCAAGCCCAAGAGAGTCAAGAAGAGAGGCAGAATGTCCTGCCCTGCCCGGTGGGCGTGACTGAGCCTCACTGCGGAGGACAGACGGACGGAGTAGAGACAAATGTGCATGACAGCGAATGTGATCACACTCTGAACAAATCTCTGGGCCCAAACTCGGGGGAGGTGCTGAGTGCACGGAGGGCAGAGGAAATTAAGGAAATGTGTGAGAGGCCTGGGGCAGGATCTTTTAGGAGCAAACTGAAAAGCAGAGTGAATAGATGTGCATGTGAATGATATGCACTGTGGCTGGAAAGGAAGGTGTGGGCTAGATTACAAACCCTTTTAATTTCATTGAGAGTTTGCCCTTGGCACTAGGCAGCCACTGGGGGGTTTTGAGTAGAGAGTTTCATGATTAAAGCAACACTCAGCAGCCTCCCTCCTCACAGGGGTGGGGCAGAGGGGACTGAGAGATGCTGGGGTGGCTGTATTTGTCCAGGGGTGACCCTGGCTCCTCTCTGTCCTCACCACCTCCCAACCTCATCAAACACAAAATCCTACCTGGGGTCCTATTCTACCCAAATCTCTTCACACTGACCTTTCCCGCTCCTGCGGCTGCCGTTCTTCAGACCGAGATGTAGACAGCGCTGAGGCCGGAATAAGGACGGAGACGGGATGGTCAGGCTGACCATGCTCGAGTCTTAGCCTGGAGACACTGTGGCCACCTTAACACAAACTGATCAGTTGGGGGGAAAGGCCACATGAGCTTTGTGGGGACAGTGAGAGAGGTCGTGATTGAAGAGGTTGCATCTGAAGGAATTGGATTGGGATGCAGGGGTGGGACCCAAGGAGAGAGGCTGTGCTATCACACGGAGCCCACATGGGAGCATAGTGCAGGTAGAAGCCAAGGGAGGAGGCAGGACCAGCATGGGGCACAGGTGTGGGGAGAAGCCTTGGAAAATAAGGGCAGAAGCATGGAGAAGACCCTCACCTGGGGGCCAAGGAGAGCGAAGGGCAAGGGAGCCAGGAAGAGCTGTGCAAGGTGGCCAGGAGGGGCCGAAGCCCATGTAGGAGGGAGAGCACTGGAGGGGGCAGCAGGGAGGACAGAAGCTAGGGAAGACCCTAGCTGCAGTGACCCAGGAGTCCCAGGGCACCTCTAAGAGCACTGCTGGCAAGGCCAGGGGAGGTAGTCTGGGGGGCGGTGGGGAGGCAGAGTCAGGCAGAGAGAACTGCTTGCCTCAGTCTGGCCTAGAAAGGAGGGAGGCAGAGGAAGGGGTTAATGTTTAATGACAAAGGGGACCCGAGCATCTCTGTCATGAGATGAGGAGTTGGCAGCAGAGCAGAGGCGAGTGAGGGGGCGGGAGGCTCAGGAAGACAGCGCAACAGATGGGAGTAGAGGGTCCGGAGGGGACTGACTGTGTAGAAGAGGGGCAGGGAAGCCAACACCCTGGGGCAGAAGGAGGAACGGTTCCTCCTCCAGCACAGCAGGGAGCCCAGAGGGAGGCCCGTGGGACTACTGTACTCAGAGGCGGCTGGGAAGTCTGAAGATCATGGCCAGTGGCGGCCCCTGTCCTCTGCTGGACCATCCAGTGCTCTTTCCCAAAAGTACCACAATGTGGGCAGCCTTGGCCAAGTGGCAGCTGCTGGGAGACACGGTGGAAAGGAGGTGGGTGAGGACTGGGTGAGACCTTCCTCAAGCTGTTCGATCGTGGTCCAGAGGGTTCAACACACCCAGAAGTACTGAGGCCACGCCCAGCCTGAGGCACACGGCGAGTCCCTTCGTTAACATTCTTCAGAACAGTACCTATGGGAACCAGCTTTGCCATTCGGTCCCCACTGCCCCCTCTAGCTGTGCTTGCCGGCAGCTGTGACATGACCAGGTCAGTGCTTCCGTCCCCTAAAGCATCTGCACATCTCCCGTGCGTGAGGTTGTTACCACCGCAGAGAAGCAGGCCGGGTGGCTTATGTCCATCCTGCAGAGTAGAAATTTGCCTTGGTTCAGTGAGTCATGGCAAGGGCAGGGCTGGGACCCAGGAATTCTCACTCCTGGGCTCTTTCCACCAAATCCAGCCAAGCTCAACAGGAGCAAGCAGGCAAATCCGCAGGGGAAAAACCAACATCATGTGATTCGTGCCCAGACCAGGTAGGGCTTTGAGCCACCTGGTATCTGGATCCCGCATGTTTCCACAGGCCGGTGAGAGCTGAAGAGGTGCTCAGAGCTCAGGGCTGGCACCAGGGGCCCCTTCTTACTGTCCTCGTTCACTCCAAAGCATTTATTGACCACCTGCTGTATGCTGGGGAGAAATAACAGAAAGGAAGATTCTGTCACTCCTCAGCAGGAGCTCAGGGGCTGGTGGGGCTGGAGGTGGAAGGACAAACAAGTAAACAGCCTACAGTGCGGCAGCTTCTCAGCAGAGCCAGACACCGCTCTGGTGTGTGAGAAACACTGGATGTGTCCTCCCTGCGGAGAGCTCCTGTCAAGGTTTAAAAAAAAAAAAAAGAAAAGAAAGAAAGAAGAAGACAGGGACAGTCAGAAGGAAGAACAACAAATAGCTTTTCTAATCTGATTTTAGTTGTTGCTTCATTTAAAGAGTAATGAGTATGAGCTTAAGTCCTAATGCCTTCATGCAGATTTCTGCAAATCCACAGAGGAAATTCAGAAGCGCTGGTGGAAGTCCAGACCCATTTTACTAACTCATGGATATTAATGGCCTTATGTTTGGTTGCACATGTAATGAGGTCAGCTTTGGAGCACCTGGGGGCTCAGTCAGTTAAGCGTCCGACTCTTGGTTTCGGCTCAGGTCATGATCTCAGGGTTTGTGAGTTCAAGCCACGCGCCAGGCTCTGGGCTGACAACACAGAGCCTGCTTGGGATTCTCTGTCTCCCTCTCTCTCTGCCCTTCCCCTGCTTGTGCTCGCTTGCCCTCTCTTCCTCCCTCCCTCTCAAAATAAATAAATAAATTTTTTTTAATAAATAAATTTTTTAAAATGAGGACAGCCTTAGCCCTGACACGCATATATAATGAGTCCAGAGGGCTATGGTTCAAGCCCAAGGCTGCTCTGGGAGGGCAGTTTCTGACCCTGTGGGAAGCCCACTGTCTTTCTTCCTATTTCATAGCTGCTATTTCTCCCCCTTGCAGCAAGGTTTGGATAGGAACATGCTGGGATCCTTAACTGGGCCAAACAGCTTCCGGAACTTCACCTCCCGATTCTAAGAAGGGGCTGCTCAAGCAAGTACAGATTGTAGGTAAGAACTGGCCCTCCCACCCCGGGCAGAGGCATCTCCAGGATCCTGCAACTACCTCAGCCAGTCTCAGAGGGAGAGGCCAGGCCTGTGCTTCCCAGGGACACAGAAGCATCCTTTGATCTGGCAGACAGCCTAACTATAGCTGACATAAGAGCTATGAGGACAGCCGTATAGGTTGTTTGGCCAGCGTGCATGGGCTGTCCCACCACAGGACATTAGGGATGTGCAATGTCTGGGCAGAACTTCCAGGTACAGCAGTGCAAGCTGTGCACTGCACAACCTAGGCGGAGCCATGCACATGAGCTGTAGTATGAATGCAGCTATATAATATGTCATTTGGGTTTGTACGCCTACAGCTCACTTTCTTACCCTTTTTATAATTCACTTTCCAGTCTTCACACGCCTCGTGTGGATAAGTTTATCTCCCACTGATGATCCCAAAGACCAAAAGCTCAGGACCAGTATCTTTAACAAAGGCATACACACCTTTGCTATCATTAGAATAACTTAAGATGCTTACTAAAACACATACTCCGGGCCCCAGCCCCAGCAATTCTGACTCAGTAGCTCTGGAGTGGAAAATGCGTTATTAAACAAGCATCCAAAGTGTTTCTCATGCAAACGATATCGACTTTCTCTAGGTCACTAGAGATGGCCCCAGTATGGAGCCATCTGCCAGGAGCCAAGGGTGAGGACAGGGTCTCCTGAGCTGAAGGGGACGTCTTAGCACCCTGGCTATCTGCCCGCACCCCAACACCTCAGTAGGCTCCCAGTGGGAGAGTCGGCTGTAACTTTGTCCAGCTGAACATAAATAAGACACCAGATCCCTTCTCCTGGCAGATGAGTGCCGGCAACATGAGGATGGAAAAAGAGAGAAGACAAAATTCGATAGATTCTTAATGAGGGAGGTCTGGCGCCTCAGCGTGTGCAGAGCCTGGGCACGGTGTTGGCAGACCGGGGTGGGCATGGCGGTGAAGACGCCAAGCTGACGAGCTTCTCGCCCAACAGGAACAACCTACGAATGTGTCAGGGCTGCTCTGAATCCCCTCTCGGGCCAGGGGACATGTCTGTGCCGACATGGGGGGGAGGGGTGGCAGTGCTGGCCAGACCGATGGCGTGGGCGCCTCTCCCTGTAGACACTAACTGGACGCTTCTCCTCCAGGAGTGGTGTGATCCAGCTGAGAAGACCTCAGGCCTTGCTGGACGGGCGACTCTGTCCACCCTGTGCGATGTTTGGAAAAGTTCAAATCCAATCGAAAGGAAACCTGAAAACTGTGGATGATGGAAATATTTTTAGATTTTTTTTTTTTCCTTGGGGGAACTGGCAGCCAGGGAGGGTTGGGAAGGGGGGGGAACTTCTCTTGAGTTAAAGGGGCTTATGTTTCATGTCAATACTTCTTTCTCTGAGAAATGATATATATGTATATATATGTACGTATCATATATATATATGCATATATATACATACATATATATAATGTAAGTGTGTATGTGTGTGCAAGAATGACCACAAAGTGCAAAAAGCGAAGTAAGCTGTTACTGCAGCTCATGAGGTGGTGAAAAGGACTCTCCCATGTTTCTTACTCGTAGGCAGGGGCTTCCGTGCTTTTTGTTTAGCTCCCCGTAGTTCCCAAAATGTGCCGTGCCAGGGCAGGCGGCCCGCACCAGGGTCGGGTCCACAGGAAGTCTTGCAAGGGAGCCATGGAGTGGGGGAGGTAAGGGGGGGTAAGGGGGAGTGACTGGGCCTGGGGCCAACCTCCCCCCTTAAGAGGCAGCTTTGCAGGAAGGGAGGCTGGCCAGGCTGCTGAAGTCCAGTGTATCTCGTGGGAAAATCTAGCTGTCTGATAGTGCGCCCTTCCCGCAAAGCCCCGGGGCCTGGGGCTGGACGGGGTTGGGGCTCTGGAGGCCAGGGGAGGACAGTCACCTTTGCTTTGCTACCTGAAGTCTGTTCTGGGGGAGTAGGAGCCTGAGAGATGGGGCTGGCCATTCTCTTGGGCTGTGAAACCGGTCAGAGGAGGCTCAGCCTATAAAGCACCTGCCTTCAGAGGCTTGTCATCTACCTGTTTCAGGAGAAAGAAGGCAAAATGATGCCCGAAGCTAAAGAACTGTTCAGGACACGGCTGTTTGGTCGTCATATTCCCAACAGCAACGGGGACAAGCTGGGGCCAGACAGGGGCCTGCTCCAGGCTCCAGTGGGACAGCAGCTGTTTGGAAACTAGCCAGGAGGACACTTCCCTGTGGGTCTGATAAGACTCAAGTGAGAGAGTGTTTTGGGTCCCAGAAGACTTTGAAGTTGGGCATTTGGATAGACCAGGAAGGGGAACTGTCAAATCAGGGCCCCGATGAGCCCAAGCCCCAGCCAGTGGCCATCCCCACCTTCCCCTGAAGCCCAGCCATCCTGCTCTTCACTGTGTCTTTGGGAAAACCACAGAGGATGTGATCAAAGGGGCTTATCTGGGACACCGGCTGCACCCAAGACCCCAGACTCTTGCGCATTTCAGATGAGAAGTAGTAGAAGGACCCCCTCAGGGCCCCAGGGGAAAGCTTGCTGTACATAGCCCTTAGTATACTGTAAGATAGAGAGAACTTTCCTTTCTGCCTCCGCCACCCGTACTAGCGTTGTTGGTGTCAGATAGGAATTAACTGCCTGGTCCAGATCCTTCTCTAGAAGAATAGAAGGTGCTGCTCATCCTACATTCCTCCTCATCCTCCTCCCAGGTCCGCTGCCTGCCCCCCGGCCTCCACCACCCCCCAATCCAACCCCACTTCTTGCCCCCGCAGTCGGAATTGAAACGTACCTTTCTGAACTAAGGATGTACCTATTAAGAGATGTGACAACTGAGATGTGATCAGCCATGTGATGACAGGCCATTTCACCAGGTCTGTGATGCCCTCCCTCCCTTTTGCTCATGGTGGAAGGCCCTCCTCCTGGCTCATCCCTCTCTCTCAGGAGCCACAAGGGAGCCTGGTCCCATCAGATAGTCTGGGGGGAGGGAGGGGTAGGTCCCAGGATGACTCCTCTGCCAGTCACCGGGGCTCAGAGGAATTCATTTCTTAAAAAAATATGTATGATGCACCAATACATACCAGGCAGTGTTCTGGGATCTCAGGATACATCAGGGAATGAAACAGACCAAGCCCTGTCCTCATGTACATTATGTTCTCCAGGAGGAAGGAGACACGGGGTGTTTGGCCTTGGGGACCCCTCCCCCAGTGTGAAAGGACTGTCCACTCCCATCAGAGCAAGAGGGAAATAGCGCACTCCCAGGGAGTCTGTGACAGCCTTTCCCCTAGTGCTGTCCTGACCTCCTGCCATTCCTCTTTGCCGTTCTTCTGTTCCAGCTGTGCTGAAGACCCAGGTGGACCCGGCCCTCTGCCTTGAGGAATGGTGGGTGGAGGTGGACAGGTAGGCCGGGCCTGATTTTGTAAGCTCTCTAGTGCTTTCTCAGGCCGGCCAGCTGGGCCTGTCACCTGGGCCTCTGGCCCAGGCCTGTCACTTTGGAAGAGGCAAAACTGAGAGAGTCCTGAGGATGCATTTCCTAAAGACGGGGAGGAAGTGGGTGGCCCAGGCATGGCTCAGTATCTAAAGCCCACGTTGGCCTCATGCTATTGGGGTTGACGCCCCAAACAAGACATTCCAATTTGAGGGCAATGAGGAGGGACATAGACCACCCAGTCACACCTTGTCCCTGCCCAGACCCCAGGGTCTCTTGTGCTTAACACAGATCCAGTCACTGGCCACCAGCAGCCTGTCCAGTGGGAGCCAGACCAGCAATGAACCCCATGCTTCTCCTGGTGATGCAGTGGGGGGGTGTCACCAGTCATGTGAGGACACTGATGTTCTCTCTCAGCCACCCCAGAGCCTGAAAGGTGGGATGGCTCTGACAAGGAAGCCTGGGACAGTGGGATGGGCAGGGGCAGATGGGCAGAGGGAAGCCCAGCGGATGGTTCTGTGAGGTGCCCTGGAGCCCTTCCAGAGCCCATTCTCCCCTCTGCCCCGTGTTTGTGTAAGAGCCTTGTGCTGGCCAAGCCCAGTTTCTCTGTGTGTGCACTATGTGTTTGCTTTTTTGGAAATATAGAAAATCAATAAATTGCTGGCATTTCTTTGAACTTTCTTGAACAGTGGATTATTTGGGGGTGCTGTTGAGGAAGGCGGAGGGACTCACTACCTTCCAGGGTCTCCTCTTCCCCTGTGCTAGGCTAGGACCGAGAGCTCCATGTGAGGGGAGATGGACGCCACCACTCACGGGCACCTGTTTCGGGTCCGTGCATGTGAGCCTCACAGCGGCTCCAGGACGCTGGTATTGCTGCACTAATCTGACGGATAAGTACAGTGAGGCTTAGGGAGGGAGCGAATATGCCCAATGTTACTGTGCTTATAGAGGGAAAGGCACCCCACCCATGAACCTACCCAGATGGAGCACCTGTAGGAAAACAAACTTCAAGGATGTAAGAGAAACTCATGTTTACTGAATGCGTATTCTACCTGCGTCCTGGATGAGGTACTTGGAGCATCACAAAAGCAGAGGACGTGGTGGACCCCAGCCACAAGAGGGTCCCAAGGGACAAGATGAGCATGGGGAACTTCAGCAGGTGGTAAATTCCAGATGGTGGTCTGGACATAACTGCTGGGGGCCATCCTGGGTGTCAGCACTATCTGGGTGGAGAAGGCTGGGAAAGTGGAGGGAAAGTGCTGGAAAGGAGCTCTTTCCCACCTTAGGAAGGTGGTGACTGCCATGGCCTCTCTATAGAGCCACAGCCCTGACTTTCTGGGTCATCTCCTAGTTTCGTAAACAGTCAGGGCAGCCAAGGAGGAGACACCCTGTGTCAGCCCAGGGGGAGGAAGGGGGCCTGTCTGGGGTCCAGAGTGTTGATATACTAGGTCTGGGGCCTCTGCAAAGGTCTTGAGTCCTGAAAAACATGTGTTGGCTCCAAAATGTGAACTCAGATTCTAAATCCAAAATCAAGAAATGTCTGATTGTTAAGCTTTCACTACAATGGAGCAAACATGCAGAAAGGCGCACAACAGGGGCGCTTGCGGGGCTCAGTCAGTGACGCATCTGACTTCGGCTCAGGTCATGATCTCACAGCTTGTAGTTCGAGCCCCGCATCAGGCTCTGTGCTTGTGAGCACCGAGCCTGCTTCAGATCCTCGGCTTCCCTCTCTCTGCCCTCCGCTGTGTTCTCTCTCTGTTTCTCTCTCTCTCTCTCTCAAAAATAAACATTAAAAAAAAAAAGAAAAGCACACAACAGAAATGTATGCTGCTTTATGAATCTTTGCAAACTGAACACCCCATGCAGCCAGCACCCAGATCAAGAATTGACTGTTACCAGCACCCCAAGTCCCCCTCAGGCCCCTGCCTGTCACTATACCACTCCCCAAGGGTAATCACTATCTCGACTTTTTCTTTTTTGTGTTTTTTTATTTTCTGAGAGAGAGAGGGCACGAGTGAGGGAGGGACAGAAGGAAGGGGCAGAGAGAGAGAGAGCGGGGAAGGTTAGAGAGAGAGAAGTGAGGTTCACCCAAAGCGGGGCTCAAACTCACCAACTGACAGATCACGACCTGAGCTGAAGTCGGGTACTGAACTGACCGAGCCACCCACGTGACCCTCTCCTGACTTTTACCACCATACGGTAATTTTGCCTGTCTTGCACTTGGTATAAATGGAGTCAGGATGTCCCTCATTGCGTCTGCCTTCTCTAGGTTGTGCAATGAGGTCACACATTACGATGGCCTGTCGTGTTCACCGCTGTGTGGTAGACCAACGCAGGACAGTGACACAGCGCACAGTGGAGTAGGACGTCACCGTCATGGTTATATCTAGGACTTACCGACATTTGGAAGCAATGTGTGGATTAGCCCTCTCACGTCCTCAAAGTTCCCACATGTGGTGTGATCGCTGGGAAATCATAACTCACAGCAAAGAACTTTGATCGATGTGGGATGTGGGTGCATCTAACGTGCGGGAGTGGCGAAGGGCTACAAAGGTCTTCCGTCAGCGATCTCTGGACAAGAGGGTGACAGGCTTTTCTGGCCCCTCTGAGGACTAGCCTGTGAGAATTGATGGCCTTGGGGTCCGGGAGCAGAGGGCAGGACTACACTGGGCGGGGGGGACCAGGAGCAGCTAGAAGTCTAGATGGTGCCAAGGGAAATGCCCAAGAATCCTGGGGGCGGAGTCTTCCTGACCCCCACAGCCAGGCTGTGCTCATCTACCTATCCCTGAGCCTTGAAGCCATTTCCTCCTGTCCCTTTGCAGCTGGCCTGGCCCAAGGCCCGGACCCCACCCCCACCACCCAGTAGTCCAAGTTACTCCAGAAACAAAGCAGTCTTTGCACGTCACGTCTTATAATGCAGTGCATTGTGTTGCCCAGCACAGCTGGAGAAAGAGTGAACAGGCATCGTGAATAACAATAGTCTTTTTACTTGAGGAGCTAAAAAAATAACCCCTTTAACTTCTAAAGCCTTAGAGTATCCATTTTCTGTGCTAAGCTTTACCTCGTTCTAGTGAGACAAGCAGAACTCAGGGTATTACAGTCCAATGTATAGATTGAGAGACAAAGTGTCTGTCCCAGAGTCTCTCAGCGAATGTGTACAGAACCGTGGCTGAAACCCAAGTGTCTGTCCCCACCCAGGTGTAGACTCTGATCAACTCAGGTGAACTTTCCCAGCTGTCCCAGCCTTAGCATGGGATAAGACAGCCCCGATACGAAGGTAATACTGTGCACAATTCAACCCAGTGACAGGGAAACTGACGCTACCTCGAGGCATCATGCTAAGATGACACGTCTCACCAGCAGGGGCAGTGTGCAGACAGGCTGATAAATAGAAAGTTCTGATCTGTGGACTATCGGATACCAGAAACAGCTGTGAGGATCATCTACTCTGGGGCCAGCTGGTTTGGTTGGTTAGAATATGAGGCTAATGACCCCCCCCCCCCCCCCCCCCCCCCCCCCCCCCCCCCCCCCCCCCCCCCCCCCCCCCCCCCCCCCCCCCCCCCCCCCCCCCCCCCCCCCCCCCCCNCCCCCCCCCCCCCCCCCCCCCCCCCCCGCCACCACCACCATAATGCCTCACTGCCTACCTTAACCAGGCATCCTGCAGGCACCTGCTCCTTCAGCAGAGTACAAATGTCACTGGGAAGCTTGTTAGCCCTCTTGAGGGGAGTGTGTCAAAGCTGATGAGCCTCACTGGTGGCAGATCGTCATGGACATTCCATATAAGAAAGGACATCATGCTCCCAATGTTCCAGACCCATTAGTCAACTATTAAGAAGTTTCATGACTGATGAATTAATTTAAAAATTTTCCATATTTATCAAGTAGCTCTAAATCTCTGGGCCATAATTCCACCCCCTCTACACAAAGCCATTAAATCCTGCTCTCTACACCTCCCTCAGAAAGGAAGTGTCAAGGAACACCTGGGTGGCTCAGTCGGTTAAGCGTCTGACTCTTGATCTCAGCTCAGGTCATGATCTCACAATTCCTGGGACAAGCCCTGCATCTGGCTCTGTGCTGACAGTACAGAGCCTGCTTAAGATTCTCTCTCTTCCTCTCTGCCCCTCCCCCATGCACACACACTCTCTCTGTCTCTCTCTAAATAAATATTTTTTTAAATAAAGTCCAAAATTAAAAAAAAAAAAAGGAAGGAAGCTTCAATCAGATATGCAAGGCCGAGGCCAATTGGGCCCACACTGAACCCATGTGTGTCGTTCTGGATCCTCCCAGGCTCACATTCCTGCATTCTGGGGCCCAAAGTTTTCCTGGATGACAGCTGGGCTATAGGGCACAGGTACAGACCTAGAGAAAGGTGACCACATGTTAATTACGTTTAATCTTTATATCGATGCCACAAATCATGTTTAACAGTTCCCATTTAACAGATAATGAAACTATGGTTCAGAGAGTCTCGGTTATGTATTCAAGGTCACACAGCTAGTAAATGATGGGTTCGGAATTTGAACCAAGTCTGAGGCCGAGGCTCCTGCTCTTCCCCCTTCGCTGTAACTGCATACAGATCGCCATTACAACAGTTCTGTTGACTTCTCAGCTAACCACCAGTGACCATCCTTTACTGCAGTGCCCCCTCTGAACCTTCTGTAACCTGGGTGTGAGTCTGGAACAAGCATTTGTACCCTGGACACATACTGCTCACTTTGTTTTAATTTAAGAAACATCTAGGTAAAAAAAAAATTTCTTGTCTTCCAAAAAGGCTCTCCAGACAAAACAAGAAGTCAACCTCCCCCTCCTCGCCTTTTCCTTCAAGCTGATAAAAGCCATTTCCCAGACAACTGGCCAGTTCTGAGTCTGAAGGAAGTCTTTCTTGCCCAGACTCTCCATATGGTTTCTTTTTGCCAGCCCACAGCTGGCCCCGCCTGGCCCCTATGGCTGCCTGAGTTGGGGCCCTCCTAGGGGCAGAGACTTTATTCTTGACCTCAACAAACCAGAGTTTGTTGATGGCGAGACATACTGGCAGGACCAGTGAGGGGAAGCCATGGGCCCGGGAGCTAGGGGCTGGGAGGCGGGCTGGCAGGGAGTGGGGCTGAGGCGGCACCCCAGACTCAACATCCAGCATCCGGAACCCACCCAGCTGGTCCAAACCAGGGACTGAGGCTGTCAGACTGAAAGCGTCATCAGACTTCCCCTTGTCCAGTGGTTTTCACAGTTTTCAGCCACAGAATCCTTTAGTTGAAAGACATGTAACATGGAAGGTCGAAATAACTAACAGGTAAGATCAACACAGTCCCGGTGAAAGAGGTTGAGGGCAGGACCTCCAACTGCCCACCCCCTTTATTCCCAGGAGAGGTTCCTTGGAACCCCAGGCTCCAAGGAGCCATTGGAAAATCTCTGATCTAGTCCAGCCCCCTTGCTTTGCAGGCGAAGAAACTGAGACACAGGCAGGGGTCACAAAGCAGCTCCAGTAGCAGAACGAGGTCTAGAGCTCAGGTCTCTTGAATTGCAGTTCAGGTTCTTTTTCCTACTCTGCCCTCACCTCCCCCTTGGATCAGGTGTGCCTTCTGGCGCTCCCACGGTGCTCTGTTAGAGTCTAGCATAACACTCACTACCCTGGGTAATTGTTGCAGTCTGTCATCTCTTCCTGACTAGACTGAGCTCCTT